GGATCACCATATATGGTGTCTATTTCTCCCCCAACCGGAGTTTGAACGACTTCGAGGTTTTCCTAACCAGCTTGGAGACCTCGATACGGCGACTAGCGTCTGGGCACGTCCTTGTGCTGGGGGACTTCAACGCAAAGTCCATTGCGTGGGGTTCCCCCAGGGCGGACGCCAGGGGCGAGGCCGTAGAGGAGTGGGCGGCCTCGGTGGGCCTCTGTCTTCTAAACAGAGGCTCCACCAACACGTGCGTGCGACAGCAGGGGGGGTCGATAGTGGACCTTTCGTTCGCTACCCCTGCCCTCGCCGCACGAGTAAGGAACTGGTGTGTCCTGGAAGAGGTTGAGACGCTCTCGGATCACCTGTATATCCGATTTGAGCTCTCCCGGACCCAGGACTCCAGTAGGGGTCACGTGGCGCGGCGTTTATCCCGCTTTCCGCGGTGGGCTGTTGCCAGACTGAACCGGGACCTACTAGAGGAGGCAGCCATAATTCACTCGTGGCTGTCTCCTCAGGCTCCGACCGAGGAGGTCGACGTGGGGGCTGGCCGCTTTCGCGATGCGATTACGCATATCTGCGATGCGGCCATGCCCCGCGTTCGAGGTCGTCGGCCTCCAAGGAAGGAGGTCTACTGGTGGTCCCAGGAGCTGGCGGACCTCCGTGCGGCCTGTACACGTGCCCGGAGGTCCTACACACGCAGTCGGCGGCGTCACCGTGGAGACGGTGAGGAGGACCGGCTTCATGAGGAGTACCGGCGGGCGCGGAAAAACTCTGAAGCTGGCCATTAGCCGCGCCAAAGAGGAAAAGAGACAGGAGATGCTGGAGGGTCTTAATCGTGACCCCTGGGGTCGCCCTTACCGCGCGGTGCGACAAAAGCTCCGCGCGTCGGGCCCCCCCCTTACGGAGACTCTCCAGCCCAGCTTCCTGCAGGAAGTGGTCGAGGGCCTATTCCCGCAGCGGGCGGAGCACACACCCCCGTCAATGGCTGCATCAGCCGGAGACGACGGGGTCAGCGAGGTCGATGTTCCGCCCGTCAGGGAATCGGAGTTGGGGGCGGCTGTTCTACGGATTCGATCCAAGAACACCGCCCCCGGGCCGGACGGGGTTCCAGCCCGAGTGATGGCCCGAGCCCTCGACTACATGTCGGACCACCTCAGGGGGGTGTTGGACGCTAGCCTGGCGTCCGGACGCTTCCCTGAGTGCTGGAAATGCGGGAAGCTGGTCCTGCTGCAGAAGCCAGGACGGCCTGCCGATTCGGTCGCGGCCTATAGGCCCATCGTGCTGCTGGACGAGGCGGGCAAATTGTTTGAGAGGGTTCTTTCTGCCCGCATCGTCCGGCACCTCTGCGAGGTGGGCCCCGATCTGTCGGACGCCCAATTTGGTTTTCGGGCGGGGCGTTCGACAGTCGACGCCGTGTTGCGCCTGAGGGCCGTGACCGAAGAGGCAGTGAGCTGTGGCGGCGTGCTGTTGGCGGTGTCATTAGACATCGCCAACGCATTCAATAGTCTGCCATTCAGCTGCATCAGGGAAGCACTCCACTATCATGGGGTGCCAAAGTACCTGAGGCGGCTAGTGGCAGACTACTTAGAGGAGCGTACCGTCGTGTACGAGGACCGAGAAGGTAATTTGAGGAGTCGGCCCATGTCGTGCGGTGTTCCACAGGGGTCTGTTCTTGGACCCCTCTTGTGGAACATAGGGTACGACTGGGCCCTTCGCGCCGATTTCCCCCCCGGGCTGGGTGTAATCTGTTACGCAGACGATACCCTCGTGACAGCCCGGGGGGCAAACTTCCAAGAGGCGGCGCGCCTGGCCACAGGGGGAGTCTCCCTGGTGGTCGGGCGCATTGAGGCGCTGGGCTTACGGGTGGCCCTAGATAAGACGGAGGCCCTGTTATTCCATGGGCCCCGTCGTGGTCCACCCCCTGGCGCCTCAATCGTGGTCAACTCGGTCCTCGTACCGGTTCGGGCCCAGATGAAATATCTGGGCCTGATCCTCGACGGGAGGTGGCTCTTCGACGAGCACTTCCGACAGCTTGCTCCAAAGCTGGTCGGCGCTGCGTCTGCCCTAGGGCGACTTCTGCCCAATATGGGTGGACCCAGCGTCGCGACAAGACGGCTGTACACGGGGGTTGTCCGGTCAATGGCACTGTACGGTGCACCGGTGTGGGCGGCGGCTCTGACCGCCCAGAATAGGGTACGCCTCTGGCGCCCTCAGAGGGTAATGGCGGTTAGAGCCATACGCGGTTACCGCACCGTTTCGACGGAGGTGGCATGCGCATTGGCCGGAACTCCCCCGTGGGATTTGGAGGCGGAAGTGCTCGCCGAAGTTTATCGGCGAGTGGCTGACTTCCGGGCGGAGAGCGGATTTCGCCCTCCGCCCGAGGATGTGCGCGAGTGGCGCGAAGCCGCTCGCCGAGCCACGATGGCTCGTTGGTCGTTCCGGCTGGAGACTCCACGCGCTGGCTTCGCCGCCGTGGAGGCTCTCCAGCCGGTCATCGCCGAGTGGGCAGGGCGGCAGCACGGGACCCTTTCCTTCCGGCTGACGCAGGTGCTTTCCGGGCACGGTTGCTTCGGAAAGTACCTGCACACGGTCGCAAGGAGGGAACTGAGTCCCGCCTGCCACCACTGCGACTGCAGTGAGGACTCGGCCCAGCACACGCTGGCGGTCTGCCCCGCATGGGCGGCGCAGCGTCGGGCCCTCACTGCAGTCATCGGAGTGGATCTCTCGCTACCGGCCGTAGTACGCTCCATGGCCGGTAGCGACAGTTGTTTTACCGCGGTCGCTACCTTCTGCGAGGTAGTAATCTCGCGGAAGGAGGCGGCGGAGAGGGCCCGGGAGGACGACCTCCACTCGGACCCGATCCGCCGCCGGCGAACCGGGCGGCGGAGGCCCGCCTACCACAGCCTCATGCCGCCCTGAGTGTGGCCGCGGGTGGACGGGGTGGGTTTCCCCTCCACCCGCATTAGTTTGGCCAGCCGCGAGGGGGCGGCGTCCGCGTGTGCCGGACGTCGCCTATAAAGAGAGGAAAAAACACTGAGACGGAGCCCGCACCAGGAGCGGGCTGGCGCTAGGAGGGGTCCGGATGTCTTAACAACAGCTGTTCCCGGATCCCTCCTGTTACAGGCGCAGAGTGGCACACCGTGTGGTTTTAGTCGGTCCGAGTCCGACACACCACCCCGCCGCAAACCCCGGAGGGGTGACGGTCCGAGGGGATTTCCACACGTTAAAAAAAAAAAAAAAAAAAAAAAAAAAAAGGGTGCCCTCGCATTTTAAATCTATGACACCTACTAAGATTTTTACTGTAATGATATGTTGTCAAAGGAAATTTTGATTTACATAAATGCATAACAACAAATGGAGGTTTAGGCCTACTAAACCGGGCTGGCCAGACGTATAGGGTTTGTTTCAAGTTTTCCTTCTCTTTGCAGTGCTGTTGTCCTGCTTAGTTTGCTCCCTTAGTCGGCTCTTACTACTAAGTAATTCTGCATCGCTCAATGAAAGTTCTCTCACCGATTAGTTTTTTTTTACTTCAAAAAAGACAACTCCTATACTACTGATCGATATCGATATGGTACTACCCCTATATACTGTGTCGTGATGGACTTTGTAAAAATTTATGAAACGAACAAAAAGAAAAAAAAATGTGGATCATGCAAGGAGTTGAAAAGAGAAGAAAATCTTGAAACAAACCCTATACCAACCCGTTTGGCCAGCGTGGTAAAGTAGGCCAAAACCTCCTTTCTAAGGAGAGGCCAATGTCCAGCAGTGGACTGCTAAAGGCTTTTGAGGATTGATGATGATGATACAAGTAGGTATCCTATGTGGGGATCGAATCCACAACACTGAGCGCAGTAGGAAACAGCGCGGCGACAGGGACACCCGTGCAACTAGTATAAGAATAAGATTTTCTTAAAAAAAGTTTTAAGCAAATTTACATAATGTTGTTCAATACACAACTTGTACGTCACGTGATAGTTACCATATATGTTGAATATATGGTAACTATCATATAATATAATATTATTATTAAATATTATTATAAAAGGTATAATATTATTCAATTTATCCGCCTTTTATTACAAGCAATATACTTACGCCCGATTTTCTTAGCTAATCCTAAATTTTTCCGTTAACTGTAATAGTCTCATTTACGTAGGGTGTCTATAACGTTAAAGGGAGCAAAACTTATGTAGCCAAAACGTGGACGTTCAGTACGGGGATATAGCATTCTGTAAAAGGTCCCTGGGTCCCGTATATAGTCACTTGTTCAATCCTAAACAGGTCATTTATTACATTTAAAATCGTCGCCCACGCTTGCCTATTGAAAAGGAGCGCTACAAAGGAAAACCTTGAAAAGGTCCGTGTGCCTACACCAGAGCCTTTAGTAAAAGTGTTTGGCCTTGAGTTTTACTTGACAAGTTTACTAGCCGTGACTAGTGGAATTTATAAGTTTAATCTCTACGCATTCTTAAAACTGCATAGTACTTTGAAACAGAGCCACTGTGAATTAGGAGGTTGGCGCTGACAATATTTAAAAAAAATAAACTGTTTTTTTTTAACCAAATATAAGGGTCTGAAGCTATTAGTGCATATATAGGTTTTCTTTGTGGCAGCCGTACGGTACATTGAAAAAAATAATTATGTATGAGTAAATCGATATATCGATATTTTTTTGAAGACCAAGAGGCTATATTAGAGATATATTAGAGGCTATAATGTTAGAGTATTTCATCATGTATATAATGTATTTTATTTTATTTATTGTGACCTTAACTAAATGTGTATGCAACATAAAAATGTTGAGGATAACTGCTATAAATTCAGTTGCGAATTTTGACCAGAACAGATAAGCATTGTAAGTTAAACAAAACCTTGAAATACTTGAGCTGATGGTGTCAATAATGGGAGATCGCGTTTACAATATCGTACCTGGGTAATTAAGGAAGCGATATTTTGAGATTCATTGGTTTCATTCCATTTCTATAAGAACAGTAAGTGGTACTCACCACAATGCCTGATAGATGCAGCGATACAAAGCAGGACGATCCTGGGCTGAGTGATGACGTGCCAAATGGTGACTTGAGGCATATTCTTGCCTGCTTCTACCGTACCGTCGTTTGTCTTCGCTGGACCAGTTCCTGAATAGGTAATGGATTCATGATGATGTTTAAGGTCAATTTAGAAATTGGCTAGAGCGTCCTGTCTGTCCATTACAGCTTGTTCTGTTATAGATAATTTAGCTAAACTTAATCGGTTAAAACTAAAAGAATATAGTTTATTTTTTAAAGAGTTAGTCGGTTTCTATTATTCTTTTTTATTGAAAAGCGGAGCTTCAGAAAAACGCTCTTTAATTTTCCCTAAAAATAAGTTCTCGTTTTCACTGGTTTTCTCGTCGTTGTGCGAAAATTTCAAGTTGAAATGTGTGTTGTGTGATTTTTTCTTTTAATTCAAATAGGTCATGTTGAGTACAACCAAATCAGTTTTTTTTTATTGATATCGGCTCATCAAATATTAAAAAAATAGCATGCAAGTTGCGCAAAAAAAGCAATATTCAATCAAACTAAGAAACTCATATTAGAAGTCAGAAAAAATAAAGTTTTTATGCAGAAACATAATTTGCATTTATGATAAAAAAACTTTAGATTGTGACACGTTAATTTATTTTTCGCTTTTTGTCAAATATTAGACAAAATTGTTTGGCTTGTTCTTCTAGATCACAATAAGTTAACTAATTTTTGTTTGGTTGTTTTTCTCAGCTGCGCATATAGTACAGTCTTTCAACGGGATAATTCGGGTAAAAGTATTAGTATAAAAAAAATATTTGGAAAAAACACCGTCTAAGGCAAGTTGTTAAAAAAAAATCGAACAGGTGCGAAACAGGGTTATTAAAAAAAAAGCAAGTGTTTTTTTTAAATGGAATAGCAAAAAATAATAGGTAGTAGTGGGAGAAAAAACCGAAAAAAATGAGAGTTGCTGAAGTCGATTTCGTTAGAAACTTTACGAGAATACACTCTTTTATCTCGAAAAAATAACCTTTTATTTTCACAGCTTGTGTGACTTGTAGGAAATCCGTTCAGGGCTTAAATTATAACTTTTAATACTGTTTTTTTTGTCAAAATAATTTCGACGCAAAATAACATTCAGTTTCCGCACAATTTGCGAAAATGTAAAAACAGGTGATTCACATAATAAAATGGAAGAAATAAATTTGGATGGATCGGAGTGCATGTTTTTTATGTGTTACGTATTTATAATAAACATCGTACCTTCTTCGCCAATGGTAGTCCTAGGAGGCTCCCTCAAAGTCAGGAAGCTCAAGAGAGTGATGATAAGACCAATAACTCCTATTCCGTAGTAGCATACCCGCCAACCCTGTGGGAAAATGTATATGAAAATAAGAAATCAAAGCAAAAACTCCATACATTGGTATATTGCTGATTGAGTTCTTAAAATGACTCTCTACCACTAAGAGCTGAAATGTAAGTCTCAGCTATTAAAATCAGTACGCCACAGGTTTTTCTCTAATAGTCGTCTGAGTTGTGTTCACTTTGCCATTTACAGTTATAAAAAGTTATCGTTATTCATATGCTTGCGTATAATGAAGGGAAAAAATTACATAAGACACAATGAGCATTGCCAAGAACGCAGGCTTAAAATTATCATATGTGATATCTGGAAGTGAAATTTCCTCATAATCACATAGTACAAAACTTACCAAACCCCAAATGTTGAGTTCAGGAATATACCTTCCGACTGGGAAAGCGATACCGTAACCTCCATAGATACCCCAGTTGAAGATCGACAGCGCAAGCGCTCTTTGACGTTCAGGAAATAGATCAGTAAGTATCCCGGTGGCTAGAGGATTGCAGCCAGACTCTCCTGCTGCCAATACCATACGGAGAACGACGAGGTGCCAGTATTCAGTTACGCTGCCCATGAGTAGAATGGCGATCACGAACACTAGGGTGCAGAATGAGAGGATTCGAGCTCGGTTGAACCTGTAGAAAAAAATTACATTACATTTACAGTAAATATAATAATAATAATAATATACCTCACATATCACACACGGCCGTCTGATCCCAAACTAGGCAGATCCTGTACTATGGTAACCAGACTGCTGATAAACATACTTATATATTTTTAAATACACACATATTATAGATAAATTACACCCAGACACAGAACAAATGACCGTGCTCATCACACAATATTTGTCCTGGGTGGGAATCGAACCCACGACCTCTGGCTTAGCAGTCAGGGTCACTAACCACTAGACCAACAGGCCCGTCTAAATGACTTTACATATTTAGTGATACTCAGTGAATCTGTATAGCGTGTTCTAATAGTTAGCTACATTGTAAATCCAACTATTTTAGGCTTGTGGCCTTGGTATATTTAATTATTAATTTAACTTTATGCACTTTTGTACACCGGCGGACTTAATGCCCTGGGCATTCTCTTCCAGTCAACCTTTGGGTGGTGTAGAAATCTTGTAAAGTAGGTGCACAGAGGTGGCAGAGGTGCGTCTTAATACATTAAGTAATCAATGAAATATATGTAACGGTTCGCTCCATACACAAACGTATACACACACATATACAACACAACACATCATAAATACTCACATATACAATTATACATACATTCAATTATATTTATATAGATACATATATATTATATTTGCACACTATGACCGGAATATGAGGTATATACACACAAATGTTTGACTTGAGCGGAAATCGAACCCGCGACCTTTGGAATAGCAGTCCGTTACACAAACCACTACACCATCCGGTCGTATGATATAATCTGTTTCTATATCTTTTGTTAAAAAAATTATAGCCAGTCTAGCACGTCCCGAGCTGTTTGCCACCACGCTGAGTATTTGTGCACCCATTACTAAAAGCATGACGATACCGGATCGTTTGCCAACAAGTTTTGTGGTAAAGGATCTATTTCTACAACTTCAATAAAAAAAAAACTATTCTAGCTTGTCCTTACTTGTCAGCCACTACACCAAGTATAATCCCGACCACGGTGAACACTGCCATGAAAGCTGGACCGGCGAGCACTTGGTAATCTATGCCGAGTCCGTTGTAGCCCCATTCGCAGTACCGTGTTCCGTTCAGAGTTAATGTACCGCATCTGTCAATAAAAACATTATATAATTAAAGCAATAGAAACCTTTTCTTTGTTTTTTACCGCGCGGAAATCCCCTCGGATACCACCTATCGGTGGCATGTCGGACTCGAACCGACTAAAACCGCACGCCGTCTCGGGTACTAATAGCCGGGGAACCAGGTATACCCTAGAAAGGAAGTTCCTTTTGCCCCGACATACCTCGGGCCATCTACAGACGAGTAGACGATCCCCCCGTGTGGGAACCCCATTTTCCCTCTGCTCCCTGGAAGCGAGCGCGCTTCGCAACGCGCTCGCCGCCACCCCGGCCTGCTTCTGCTAGGGTGACAGATGGCCTCTCCTGTCACCCCCAGGCCTGCGCTTATGGAGGTCGGAGGTCGTTCTGCGAGCAATAAAAACCTGAAAAAACTTATCGAGGTTGGTACATAATCGCCAATCACCAACCCAAAAGATCATCCATACTTATATTATATTTGTGAAAGTTAGTTTGTTTGTTTGTTTGTTACGCCTTTTTTTTTTACGGTACCGTATTTAAACATTTCTTCAGCAATGGAAAACTACATTATCAGTGAGGAACATAAGTTATTTTTTACCGCGATAACCGACTTGCACGCTGGTGTAAGGACTAGCGAATGTGGTGTCAGTGTGGAGTAATGAATTATATTTTTATTATGATTAAACTATACTACAGGATATATTTATATATAATATAGCTTTTATCGATACACTTTTTGCCCCGAACCACCAATCTGTTTAACGGGTTATCGTCTGCGGTATTTCCGGACCGATACGACCTTCAAACCTTCAAGAAAAGAGCGTACTCCTTCCTAAAAGGCCGGCATCGCTGGAACATGGAACTTTTGATTATTCTATAAACTGACCTCTAAAACCCTGTAGAGAAAACCACTCATACTTTTTAGTTTTACTTATCATAAGGGAGAGCCTTTACATCTCAATGTGATGTGTCGAACCTATAAGGCTTGTAACATATGTACATACTTTCCTGTAAACTTAAATTAATACTTTTAAGTAACCTTAAAACCCCAGCACTAATTTAACGCTAAATGTTTTCATTACTGTTCTTCTAAATGTAATATATCTGCTAAACTACTGTTCTACTAAATATAATCAAGACTTCAGTATTATCAGAGTTTGTTTAGCCATTATGATAAGCCTTAAAAAAATATGTTTTGGGTGAGGAATGCAATAGACTGACTGACTGTCAGATCTGTCAGATTTGATCAGCTCAAACAATTCAACAAGTTTGGTTTGTCAGGTAACAATTTAACATGCCAATGTCACGAATACGCACACTATACTTCAGTTGTAAAGGGACTAGCAGAATTGTAAATAGGTTATTAAGCAGCTATGAATATTGTAAAGCGCCGACAGAGGACCCAGCAGTAATCACTGTCACAGTAGATTAGTTACAGCTTGCGTTGTAGCCAACTTCATGCGAATATAAAATATGCAATTGGTTTGTTCAACTTTGGCCTAATTTTAGAGTTTCTATGAAAAGGTTGTTGGCATTACACACAATAGACTGAATAACAATCGTGGGAGAAACTTTAACGTTGTACTTTTGTGTTGTATTTTTTTTAAGTCCATCAATGCACCAAATGTGTATGATGTGTAAATAAATAAATAATTTGTTACACAGATTGGTTGTGCGACAAAATGTCTCGTGTTGGTGGTGTTGTAACTGGAGCTAAACAATTCTTCAGTTACTTTTCACCGAGCTAGTGAGGTTATCAGAGGCCTGGCGACCCTCTTTTTTTCAGGTGTGGAAACCCCCTCAGACCGTCACACCACCAGTTTTGGCGGCCGGCCACCACCGGCGAGGTGGTGTATCAGAATCGGACTGAATAAAACCACACCGTGTGCCACTCTGCGCCTGTAATAGGAGGGATCTGGGAACTGTTGTTTTTAACACACTCCTAGCGCCTCGCCGTCCAAAGCGTGGGTGATCTTTGGGTGAATTCTCTATTTAGGACGTCGCCTCCTGCCCTGACCCTTGATTGCAGGGATCTTCAAAGGGCGGCACAGATTTGTGTCTTTAGACTTGCAGTTGTCTATGGGATACATCATCACATCAACATTTTGACTTTGTAGGCAATATAACACGTTAGCCAAAACGACTCAATTAGATTTATGCCTATGTTTGTCTAAATATAAGAAATGCTTAACAGCTTTAATGTAATGTAAGCCTCAACGTTTTTATTATTATTTTTTGTTTTATTTCGTAATTTTTAAATTTTATCAAAACAATTTTTTAATTTTATTTTTTGTTACTTTTAAGAATTTACATTTTAAACATCGCTTGTAACTTTGTTCGCTTAGTTGATGGTATTATTATTTTTTCACTGTGCTTGCTGTGGTCACCTGTAAGTGAAGGAGTACACCGACTTTAAACCCATTCTGTTAATTACTGTTTTTTTACTTGTGTATATCTTTCGTAGGAGATTCTAATAAATAAATAAACATCCTTTAATAGTCCACTATTGGACATAAGCCTCTCCTCAGAAAGGAGGTTTTGGCCTACTATACCACGCTGGCCAGTCGGGTTAGTATAGGGTTTGTGTCAAGTTTTCCTTCTCTCTGCAGTGCTGTTGTTCTGAGTAGTTTTCTTCCTTAGTCAGCTCTTACGACACCCACGGGATGAATAGGGGTGGTGACACTCTGTATTCTTAATCCGTCACCACACGGACACGGATAAGGATTGTCTATGGGATACAGTAGTCACTTATCATCCCAAGACCCGTCTGCTCTTTTGGCCCTTTTGCATAAAAAAGTTCTAAGGTAGCCATTTTACTTTACTTACTAAGTAAAACCCTTAAACACTAAAGGTATTAAACACAAAAAGAACATACAACTTTATTGATTTGTTGAAGTCGTCTCACCCTTATTTTTGAAGTTAAACCTCATTAAGGGATAACCCTTGACCAATTCTCTGTTTAAAGTAATTCCAAGATTTACAATAAATTAGAATAGAATGTAAGTAATAAAACTGGCAATAAGAATTCAATGTTGCTTTTTATTATAGATACATACACTTCTCTGAATGCAAACAATCTTTTTTTTAAACATTTATTTGGTGACAATAAAAACAAAACCGAAATATTTTCAAGTTTTACCTAACTTTCATATCTAGTTACTTTTTTTAACGTATTCTTACTTCAATTGCTTCGGTATAAAAATAAAAGCTGATGGGAACAGTTTAAAAACAAGAAGAAAAACCGATAAAATTTTACTAAATGATATTCAGGCTCTTCTAATATCCTTTGTAAGTACAATGTTTAGTATAATATGTTTTTTGTTTCGACTTCCGCGTAGCAGCAAAAAGTTCCGTACTGGATACATTTTATATTAGTTCCTTTGTCGTAAATAATACGAACCTAGATTGTCTATGGCCTTGTTTTTGCTACTAAGCATTGCGTTCTAGGTACAAATAGTAATAAAGTTTATCACGAGTAGGTTGGCGTCAGACATTAAAGGTTTCACAGAATCATAAAATAAAATTGTCGTGTCCTACAAAGTATTTCTGAACTGAACAAATATACTAACTCAACCCTTTATAGAGGTTTATAAACAAACAAAATTAATAACTTAGTTTATTTTTAATAGACAACTACCGCATTAGGAATACATCCAGTGTCGCGGGGGACTTTACAAACATACATGAAACAGACACAAAGTACACCCAGATTCAGAACAACATTTTGTGGATAACGCAAAGTATCGTCTCATGTGGTGACCCACAACACTCAGCGTAGAAGGGAGCGGCGAGGCGACCTCTTAAACCACTACACCATCCGTATAATATTTTTATTCATATTAAATCATGTGTCAATGATGATATTAAACGTGGTGGTGGACAGCAAACAGAATGTACTTTTCAAAGCATTTTTTTATGGTATAAGGGAGCAAACGAGCAGGCGGTCAAGTGAGGCCCAAGTGTGAGTTATGTCACTACTACTCGATCATCACGGTGACCGCGTTGGCGTTGCGATTGGTCCGCACTGAAATCTCCATCAATCGCAACGCCAAAACCGCTCGCCGTCGAGACCGAGTCGATTTGAAATAAACTCACACTTGGGCCTTTGATAGTAATTGAATACCGCCGCGAATTGACATCTGCTCCTCAAGAGGCACCTTGCTACACTTTGAGTCCCTTGCCCTGGAATCAAGAGGGGTTTGGGCCCTGGTAACCTCCCTCACTCAGTGAAAAGCAACGAAGAAATGCTCAACACCGGTTTTTGGTGAGGCCGTGGTATCACTCCGGTCAAGCCGGGGCATTTGTGTTTAAGCATGGCTCTGCCAAGGGTAAACTAAATATTTTTACTTTTGGCATCTTTAGACGTCCATTGCCGGACAGGATGTTGTTATGATTTGGTCTCGGTCACGACCTCTTGAGCGGAGAGTCGAACTCGGTTGGAGTCGGACACACCGTCTCTTGGAAAAGACATACCCATCACACTCAAGTAATAATATATAAATGTTATTTTTTCGCGAACTTTCTTGCTACTTTATTTGTATTTATATTGTTGTCCTTTAATTTACAAAGCGCAGTAAAAATATCTTTGTGACATTTAATATCAATCTTGTGACGATTCTTAATATTGATACTAAAATGGGACGTTATTTTTTCTTTGCTGAAATTGGAGCTGATGTTGGATATTTTAATTTAATGTGTAAACATTTTTATTATAAGTGTGTAAATAAGGAATTACCCTAGTTTGAGTCCAAATCTTGAATCAAATACGAAGCTAAATCTTTACCCGATCAACTTAAGTAATATTTTAGTTTTTTTTTATGATAGAGGGGTGGACGAGCAGACGGATCACCTGATGGAAAGTGACCATCGCCGCCCATGAACGTCTGCAAGTCAGTAGTCACAAAGGTTTGCATATAAATAACACAATAAATGTTTATCCAAGTAATTATTAATACCAGTAATCAGTCATACGATAGGTTTATTTGTGTGTCTAAATTGCGTATCTACTGTT